ATACTTCTTGAATTTGCTGTTTGGCCTTTTATAGGGGCTGTAGTGGAGTCTAAAGCTCATTTAGTAGGAATCCACGAGAGAGTGAGAAGTGATGCTGGAAGCAACATTCCCCAGAGTCAAAATAATGGTTCTGTGGGAAATTCACAAGGTGTAAAGCGCGTGGCAACTGCTGGCAACCCAAATTTAGAAGATGCGGCAGAACTACTGAGGTGGGTATTTCAGCATCCCTTGTGATAAAGAACACTAGTTTCCCTCCCAGATTTCGTCCCACAAAGGAATGTGCAATGTAATAACATCTGCTTTGCTTGTAGGATGTGTGTGAGGTGTGGAATCCCGAAAACATACTCTCATACAAGGGGAATAGTGTGCCCTGTATGTGGTGATCGCCCTCCCACAGACACAGAAGAGCCTGTCAGGAAAAAAGAATCAACTATTAAGGATAAGGAAAAGAGTAAGAGGATGAGAGGTCAATCCTCACATGCTACTTGGAAAAGCGAGACAGAAATGCATCTCCGACAACAGTTTGATTAGCATAGGAATCTAGGTTGCTTCGAGACAGAAATGCATCTCCGACAACAGTTTGATTAGCATAGGAATCTAGGTTGCTTTTACTATGGCACGTCAAATTATGTAAAATTGCTTGATCAAGAAACATGAGATCATCTTTCATACTATTTTGCTGCTGCTTGTTCAAGTTTGTGTTTGTTTTCGTTCGACATTGTGTATGGCATCATAAACACCAGCATACTTTTGGGTTTTCCGTTTAGAAATTGGATCATATTTATTTAGGGATTAAATTTGAATTGGGTTGGTCAGTTTCTTGTTCTTTATCCAAAATCAAAACTAGTACCTTTGCCCATTTTTCCACTGATTTTTGAAAATGGGCGAGTTTATAATCACTTTTTAGACACCCGTTTCTTCTCCATCGAGGGATTGAACCGATGTAAGGAATTGTTAAATTTTACGATCATTCTATCTAAATTTTCTCGGTTGCTGCAGTAATTGACTTTGCAAAATTATCTTTGGCTCAGAAAAATGAAATTTATTCATGGACATTCTGGTATTATTATTATTATTTTTTTTTTTTTTGATAACCGTGAATGTCCAGACCAACTTGTGCACACCTCGATTAATCCCATGGGACCTTAAAGTTTAAGGTCGGATGCTCACCTCAGTGATCCTTAGAGGATTAGAACTGGTGATCATTGGAGAGCAAATTTAAAGCCTGACCAATTGAACAATCTCTCAAGATTAACATTCTGGTATTACTTAAAAAGCATATATTCAATGTCTTCTTATAATAATTACTTCACATTAAACACAGTTATTTCTAAAATTAAGAGGTAGATTTTTAAACCAACTCTATCGTAGTCTAAACACAAGTCATCAATCTACCAAGGCTTTGAAACGCAGTAAAATAAATAAAAACGTAACTGGAAAAAGAAAATAAAAACCGGGTAAAATGGGAAAAGTTAACTGCTCATCATGGAAAAGCCATACAAGGTAAAGCACCATGCGGTAGGTTATAAACCAGAAACTCAAATTTACAGCATCATAAATACGAAACCAATTTGGCATCCAAAAGCCTGAGGCAACTGGTATGTATTTCTCTCTCTGTTCATGATAGTACACAAAATGAACTTTGCCCAAGCTATAGACAGTATTCTTAATGTCAGCAATCAAGCAACAATTTTCTCTGTTTCAGCAGCAGTTTCTTCATTATTGATCGATTTCTCATCCATTACTGGCATGCTAGTGATAGGTCTATGAACCTGTTCATAACAGAATACATCATTTTAGAAGCCAATAAATGCATGTTTCGAACGCATTACATTGCAGTTATTTTGCATGTAATACACAAAATTTTAGCTTATTTTTCTTCCTTTTTACCATCTGCTGATCAAAATCCTCATTATTACCACGCACCATAAAATGTCTTTAGGAAACTGTTGGAAACTAATCATATGAGAAGATGTTGTAACTACACATGCATTGAAAATTTACCATGCTAGATGACCTGAAAGCAGATGAGTCATTGACAGGTGTCGAAGCAGAGTCTGAAGGCCTGTGAAACAGTAGATGGGCAATAGAGCGATCTACAGGATTTGTATCAGTTTCCATATCCATATATCTAGTGAACCTGATGACAAGTCAGCAGAGGATATCAGAAGATGTCACTATGTCAAAAAAAATCCCTAAGAAGAAAATCAGCTACACATCTTGTTTTGGTTAAACTTGTGCATTATAGAAAAATTATTAACGCACGACTACATGATTCAGAAATCAAGATAAACCATACTTGTTTGATCTTGCTGCAATGAATTCTCCACTTGCATCTCTCTCATCTTTGCAGCCACCATTTGGGTTTGGATGGTTATGTCTTTGTTCTGCATTCCTAGCCAAACGATATAAACTATCCCGTATGCATAATTTTGTCCTCATGTCCAACTAAACCAAGAACATATTAACCTTCAGTTCAAGGCAGTTGAATATGAAACATAGTGCGAACACTAAAATTGATTCACAACATTTAAGATGTGAATATAGTAATATTTCTACTCATTTTTTCCTTGCCATTTGAAGTGAGACAGACCTGTAACTGTCCATTACAAAAAAATATTCAGAAAAAAATATTCAGACGCAACACACACACACACACACAAAATCGTGACAGTGTACATTCAAGGAGTGTTCAATTCCTTTATTTGCAGAAAGTCCTCCAACCTCCATTTGAGGGGTATGCTCTAAGAAAATTGTTCATATTTTGACTAAATTTGCTTAACATATGCTTAGCAGATACGCAGGATCAAAGTATTAGTACATGGTATAGTCTAGGATCTTAGCTATACACACATGTATCTAGTGTCAATATAGGAAAGGATATAGTATAAGACACTCCGCCAAATCATACCATACTATACTAAAATCAAACCTTCAGTTCATAATACTAAATACTAAAGCAGAAACTTAAATTATGTGAGAATCTGACTACCAATTATTGTTACATTCATTTCTATGTGCTTCACAATTATAAAACTTCTCCCCCACCAATGATACCACACAATGAAATGTATATGAATAGGCCAAACCTCCTGGGAGCGGGTGACAACATCAAATTACTTTTTAGCAACAAAAGCAAATGATAATTTTTTGGAAAGGACGCCATACCTGTTCCATGACAAGCTGAAGCTGTTGGAAACTAGCTGCTTCAATTGAAATATCATCCAAAGATGAATTCATGGATAAACTCTCTTGTATATTGGACGAGCATAATTCTGCTGGAATCACCATGCTGACTCCATCAACATCACTGTAATTTTCAAATTTATCTCCAGAGCGGTGATCTTTCTTTTCTATTGAAACGGGATCGAGTATGGAGGACTGGCTACCTTGATGACTATCTAGTTTCTCTCGTTTTTCACTGCCCGCTATAGTAGCCACCTGAAATGAAGGATCACGGGAATTCTCCACAAATTGCACTTGACTGGAGGCATAGGATGGCTCCCTTGGTGAAAGGAAGGCCAAGTTGTTTGTATGTACTGAAGTTTTATCTGATAAACTACTGCTATCTGAATGCACATAAGGAAAAGCATTCTGTAGGTAATCACAGGATTCAGGAATCAGAGCCTTCTGTGGATGTTGAATAGCCATAGATTGGAAAGTTCCATGAGAGGTGGCCCCAGAAGGAAGATGCCTAACTTCACTTGGAAGATTGCTAACATAATTAAAACAAACATTTCCTGTGCATTGTTCTTTTCTTTTCCTCTGAGACTGGTTTTGTTGCTTTGACTGCTTTTTATGCTCATTGACCTGCGAAGTGTACTGCATTCAAAGTATTTCATTGTCAGTGTTCAGTAGACTATCTTCCAATAGTGTCGCATAAAGAAATTTTGGAGACTAATAAAGATTCAAACTACCCGGCCAAAACTGTTATCTAAATTCTACTTGGGTAAAAAAATTCCTTCTACCAGAAAATGATGAATTTTTCTATACTTATTTTATAGTCAGGTATCATAAGTAAGAACATTGAAGGGAAATAATTTGCCCTAAAAAGACTAATTCATCTAGTTTTGTGCATACCATTCTGTTACTGCCAGTTTTGTAGTGGTTATTAGTTGAAATCTTGGGTTGATTGTTACCATTTTGTTCTATTTCCTGCAAAACAAAAAGAAAATAAAAATGCCTTGCACTGGTGAACTATGGTTCCGGACAAATTTATATATCTAATAAGAAAAGCACAGAGTCAAATTCTAGTAGCAATCACCGACCTCTTTTATGGACACAACCTCATCTTTTCTGTTAGATCTAGTGGATCCATTCACAAAGGACATACGAGAAACAGATTCATCTTTCTCTGAGCACCGAATGGATGCAGTATCATTAGTAGAAGAGCTTCCATCTACCATTTCTGAAATATTTTCGATTGCCTTCGACTTGGGACAGGAAAACTTAAAATCTGACTTCAGCACATCTCCGGATCCTCCTATAACATCATCTGATGAAAACCAACCTAATTCATCTTCTTTATCCACCCCAAGTCCAAATGTTGAATCGCAACTCCTGGAGAACAGGATTTAATCATGAGAAACAAGTTACGCAATAAGAAGGACATAGTATTTAATCTAAACTGGAGACCAGTAATTACCTAAGCATCCTGTCAATGTCCTCAAAATTTCCTATTTCAGTCCAATCGTAACGTAAGAGATCGGAAGAATCTTCATCTTCATGATTTTTGTCAAAGAAATTGAGATCATCATCTGTTTGAGAAATGTCACCGAGTGGATAACTAAAGGAGTTGCTGTCAACTGCAGTGCATTTGTCATTAAGAATAGGATCATTTGCACAAACTTTACTACCATTGGAATCTATATTATTACTGTTGAAGCCATGACTTGATATTCTGGTATTGTCAGATGCTAAACTTGAAGCTTCTTTGATTGTATCACGAACAGTTGGAGAAAGGAATGCTCCGTGGGGTGTCCGAGACCATGAATCCTTCTCTAACATAGTGTTCCTTCTATTAATCAAAGTTGAAATTTCTTCTTGTTCTTTCTCCTGACCTATGTGCTTAGCAGATGATTTATCTCCATAACTTCTTAAAATACCAGTTACTTCACACCGAGGTTCCTTACAGCTATCAACCTGAAAGGAAACTTCTTTGGCCTGTTTGTCACCTGGATGGGGCACTATATGATCATCACTCTGGAAATATTCATCCCAAACTATATCTTCGAACTGTTACAGCAGTTACAGAATTTTAGCTGCTAACTGCAGAAAATACTTCAGTAAAATAAGTCAATAATAGTTGATTATAACATCACAAACTACGAAAAATAGTAAATAAAGATATCAAGAGTGCATTGAAAACTAAACATCAACCACTAATACAGTTCCGGAAGTGCAATTCTGCACTAAGTAAAGATATAAAATAATAATAGAAAAAAAGTGAAACCATCAAAATCACGACAAGAACTAACCTCAAACAGAAGAATTGAAATCAAACATGTACGTGTAATTTGTATGATTCTTTCATTACTATGATATGTAGAATATTTTCTATCCAGCATAATAATAATGGAACTTGAAGCATCTCTTGCACTCTATTTATAATGCGTGTCATATTACAGGGTATGTGATATTACAGGATATTTATGGTTCGCATTTCTCTGTAGCACAAATGAGTACACCAAGTTATTAAAATTCAAGTTTCTTCGCAAGAATACAGAGGCAGTGATGGATTTACTAGGAAAAGGTTCCCCCCAACTGAGTGCCCTACCAAAATACAGGAGAGAAAGCAACAGGAAAAAAAGTAGACAAATAGCAGGTATATAGCATTTTTCCAGTGAAGATAAATAATCTACTGCTGCATCACATTTTCTCAGGCATATATTCTATTATAAACAGCTAAGTTTAAAGGTAAGATCATCCAATTGTTTTAAGCAGACTACATAAAAATATAGTATTAAGAGAAGCAACATTCATCAATTGTTCTATTTATAGTACGTTAGGGAAGATGAATTTCTGCACTAAAATGCATAGTCGATGATGATGTGTTCACAGGAACAAACATGAAAGTTTAGAAGATCAAGTCTAAGTAGGGTGAACAAAGCATATGCAAAAAAGAATTGAAAAGACATACTTATGAAAAGGGCCTTCAGGTTTCATGAAAATGCAGGAATACTTGCTCAGGCCTGATGATTTTTTGGAATCAGTTTTTGTAATTCAGAAAAATAAAATGCTTTTTCATTACACCACATTTAGATGTGTATCAATAGTTTCCATTTACTAAATCATTTTTTTTCCGAGTAAAGCTTCTAATTTTAAAAACTGAGTACATGTTGTGTTCAAAATATCTAACTAAACTGCTAACCATCATTGTTTCTTGAAAAGAAGACAATTACTAATTATACTAAAAAACTTAAAGCAAAAGCTACACCTAGTTAAAATAATAGCTATTAAGAAAAACTTAGCATAGGTTCATTGTTTGAATTGGATTGCTAAGAAATATACAGTTATCACTTTTCGTAATTATGTTTTGATTCTAAAGTGTTCTTAAGCATGTCTGCTGTATGTTCATAATGTATCCTCAGAATGTCCTAACTTGTCAACGTGTTCCGGAAACATCTCGTCCAAATTACACCTTCAAAAAGAAAAACATGGTTTTTTGAAAGAGGGGTCCAACATGTCTAGCGTCCATCCTTGAAGAAAGTTGACCGGCCTGAAGAAATATTTTGCCCTTGCGAATGTTTTCAAAGCCGCCGGTAGCAAAATAAAATAATTTGATGAAATAGATGATAAGTGTCATTCACTTCAAACACATGGTTGAACAAGCATGTATGCTAAATTTATCACAGTCAAGTCATGTTAGTTCTGAAATAAAGAGTGAATATAATTTTATTTCCTTTGCAAATAAATCATGTATGCATCTCAAACAAGACCGAGTCTGTAATTATCATCATATAAAAATTTAATGACATAAAATGTTACCAAAAAGACACATTCAAAGAATAAAATTAATCAAATGTGCTCATTTCTATGTTCCATATGTTAAAAATTAAGTAAACTTATTTTTTAAGTGTCGAAAACAAACCACAAGGCATATGACTTATATGACAATCAATATGTTGCTACGCTTTTATCGCTTAGTCTCTAATTCCACCAAAGCAGCGAACAGATAGTAGAAATTACTACTACAAGCTTTATTCAGAGTTATGAACGGACTAGAGACATTAGAAGTGATAAAAATTCCATGTTTTTTTTATCTATCGACCAATAATCAACAATAACAAAAGGAATAGAGGGATTACCACATTCACTATGAATAAATTTTATGTCTGTAGCCTTTTATTTCATATTCATGCAACATTCAGACTACACTCAATGCCCCTCCAATCATCCCTTATGCAGTTTTGCTCCTTCAAGACTGAGTTGTGCATTAAAACGTGAAAGTACAATTTAAATAATACATGAGCACAATCAATGCTCAATATTTGATCCTAAGACCAATAATATATGAAACTCCCAACATAAAATAATTTCTTAACTATATCTGCCTTACACAGTTAACCAAATCAGTAGCACAATAGACTCTTTTTAGGTTAATGTACACATCTAATTAATTTTATGCTTTCATTGTTCACATTTTTCTCATCGAATAGTCAAGCATGTGGTATATTTGTTTCAAGAATAAGATCCCGCAACCAATGTGAATCATATGTGCGATAAATGCTTTCAATGTACATTTTACATTCAGCCCCCGTTTGACACCCATTAATTTCTCTTTCTATTTCTCATTCTCATCTCATTCTTCATTTCAACCACACATTCTCCTAATAAAATAATATTACACACAAATCAAAAAATTTTCATCACTTTTCCACCACACATTCTCACATCAATCACTATTCCAAAATATCTATTTCTCCCAAAATGGGTTTCAAACAGGGGC